TGTATGTGGATGATATGTTGGTTGCATCAAAAGCCAAGTGGAGATTGATCAATTGAAGGCTCAGTTGAATCAAGAGTTTGAGATGAAAGACTTGGGGGAAGCTAAGAAGATTCTCGGGATGGAGATAAGCAGGGACTGAGTGAGAGGCAAGTTTTGTTTGACTCAGAAGCAATATCTGAATAAGGTACTGAGGCGTTTCAGCATAAAAGATGAGTCGAAGCCTGTAAGTACACCACTTTCCCCTCATTTGAAGTTAAGTGCCCAATTGTCGCCAAATTGTGATGAAGAACGAGAGTACATGACTAGAGTCCCATATGCAAATGCAGTTGGCAGTTTGATGTATGCGATGGTGTGTACAAGGCCCGACATTTCACAAGCAGTTGGTGTTGTTAGCAGGTATATGCATGACCCTGGGAAACTTCATTGGCAAGCTGTGAAATGGATTCTACGGTACATTCATAGTACTGTAGACGTTGGATTGGTTTATGAGCAGAATGAATTTGGTCAGTGTGTAGTTGGATATTGTGATTGGGACTACGCGGGTGATTTGGATAAGCGAAGATCAACGACTGAATATTTGTTCACTTTTGCAAAAGCTCCAGTCAGTTGGAAGTTTACCTTACAGTCAACAGTTTCTTTGTCTACAACAGAGGCAGAGTATATGGCCGTTACTGAAGCTGTGAAGGAGGCTATTTGGCTTCAAAGTTTGCTTGAAGACTTGGTAGTTGGTCAAAAACACGTCTTAGTGCATTGTGACAGTCAGAGCGTTATTCACTTAGCGAAAAATCAAGTATTTCATGCAAGAACGAAGCATATTGATGTTCGCTATCACTTTGTGCGGGAGATTCTAGAAGATGGAATCGTTGTGTTGAAGAAGATCAAGACGATGGAGAATCCTGCAGATATGATGACCAATGTAGTGACAACAGTCAAGTTTGAACATTGTTTAAACTTGACCAACATTCTGCATATTTGAGTTGGCGCCGAGAGGCGCATTTGAAGGCACCGCTAGCAGTAGAGTTGGAAGTGAGAGCAAAAATTAGTCAAGGTGGAGAATTGTTAGATTTTGATTAAGTTTTGTCCCACATCGGATGTATACTAAAGATGTGTAGGATCTTATTAGTATAAATAAGTCTCTTATCTTTGGGTTACAATTGCACCTTATTCTATTCTCTCCTATTTAGAAGGAAATCCTTAATTAAGGAAATCTTATTTTGAAGGTTATTTAACCCTAGTTGTATTTTGTTGGTGAGTTTAGTAAATTTGGCGTTGCGGTTGGCGGTGCCCGGAGACGTAGGCTATTTTCGCCGAACTCTGTTATCAATTTTTGTGTTCCTTTTATTTCTCGTCTTTTATTTGTGTTAGGTTATTTTGGAGTAGTATTCGTCATATTTATTGGAGGGTATTTTTGTCCATGCGCTTGTTGTGATACCCAACAACTTACAATGTTCTTGTGTGAAATCAAAATATGAAATCATGTGCTTCTCTGTACATTTAGTTTTTGAAAAGTACCTGAATTATAATAATGGCTGAATTTCATTAATTATATGCATGTCAATTTATTGTTACTAATTAAATTATTAAACAAAATTTATTCAAAACTTGATGAGATCTCGAATGTATTGAAGTCAATCCTAATAAAATGTCAACTAGTAAAGTTGAATTATATCAGGTGGAATCAGTAATAAATCATGTTATATATTCTCCTAATATTTTCAATTTAATTTTTCTCCAATTTTTAATAGAAAAACCAAAACAATTATTTTGAAGTCATGTGACCCACGGATCAGATCTTCAAAGCAATACGTGGAGAAATATTTTGAACTCACGGGAATTTAGAAATTACAATTAGAGAATGTCATTTAATTAAAATTATGGAAGCCATGAATAAAAAATTAATATCGATCACCAACTTTTCAGAGGAATTAAAAAGGACGATGGATGATTTTTCTAGTTCATCAACAAAAGAGGAGGTAGATTACTACCTTCATTTACATAAGTTTTACTATTACTTCATAAAAAGGGAAAGGCTCAAGACCCCTGCCAAATACTACCGTAGAAAAATGGATGGTGTAACAACAAATTTTATGGAAAACATAAAACTTCTGTAACAACTTGATTATATTTCGATCAAATGATATTGCGGGTACAATCTCTATTTATCTCATCTGATTCTTCTCTTCATGAATTTGGGTTTGAAATCTTGAAAGATGGATTGGACGATTGAACCTCCTTCAGGCTTGGTCTTGAATTTCTCTAACATTAATTTGGGGTCGAATTACTTATTCTCGTATTAAATGTTAGACCTTGACCTGGTTGAAGAAGACTTCTTGGAGAACTTGTTTCTTTGATCTTCTAGAAAGAAGGACTTTGACTTGAATAACGTTGACTCGAGGGCTTGATAACGTTGACTCGAGGGCTTGATAGCTTTTTCCCGGATCAAACGCTATGTTGGTTGAACTTCTCAACGAACACGGCTTGAATGTCGCTTGAACGTCGTTGATATTCTTGGATTGACTTGAGAAGCGTGAAGGTTCTTCAAGAACTTCTTCAAATCTTCAAGAGTGTTCTTGAAGGCTCTTGAATATGAGACTTTAATATTTGAGTTGTGTTTGATATTTTTGAGGTGTTTGAGGTGTTTGAGGTGTGATTTGGGGGATTGAGGAGAGCCCTATTTATAGGTGTAGGAGAGAGAGTCTTGGAGAAGAAAACTTCAATTTGATTGGTCCTTCATGATTTGACATAATCTCTTTCCTTCTCCTAAGATTTGATATAATCTCTTTCTTTATCCTGAGATTTGACTGAGATTTGACTTGGTGGGCAAGAAATAATTACTTTAGTAATTAAATATTTATTTATCTTGGATTTATGTCCAAACATAAATAAAGACATCAATTAATAAAATATTAAAATTTCGATGTCTACAGATGGATATCATAAGAAATTATACCGTGTTGGAATATCACTTGTGAGTTGTCCCACATTGATTCTATAGGGTAAACGAGCCAAGTTTATAAGCGTAGTGGGTTACTCCTCTCATCACCAATTGGTTTTGGGATGAAATCTCACTAAGGTGCACCTAGGCGTGCTCACCCTCTTATGGTGCGCTTCACTTGGTGGCATTGCACCTTCTTCCCTCGTGTTTAATATGGTATCTGAACGGACCTATTCAAGAATCTGCAATGACTTTCTCTTTACTCGGTTTGCTCTAGGCTTGGGCTTTATCTCCCTACCCGACCTGCTCTGAGTTTGGGCTTACGAATGACTAACAAGTGAAGGAGTGTGTTGGAGTTTGTGAGTTTCTCACATTGATTCTATAAGGCAAAACGAGTCTAGTTTATAAGTCTAGTGGGCTACTCCTCCCATCACCAATTGGTTTGAGGATGGAACCCACTAAGATGCAAACTACACAATGATTCCACAAAATACAAGAGTTATAGTGCAACAACTAGAAATGAAGATGGAGCTATTAGGGAAACAAGAGACTTTAACATGGCAGAAGATGTGGTTTGTTGCCTTCGGTTACCATAATTAATGAAAGAAATCAAGTTAAGCCAGGTGCCATGTTAGTGAAAACTATTCTTGAACAAATTCATCCATACGGGTTGTTCTTAACCTTGATATTATGGACATCAAGAATAGAGAACAATTTATTGATGAATGGTTTTCTGCAATGAATACTGTGTATTCAACTTTTGATCTCAGTAAGGAAGAATTCGTATCCGTATTAGGAACGAGTATAGAACGATCCGCCGAAAAAGCATTGCCATGCGTTATTTTTACGTAAATTTAAGAATGATTTTCGTGCCTATTTCTAAATGTTCTAAAGTATTATAAATTTTTTCCATCTCTTCTCAAGTTTCGAGTCTCCATTTCCAAATTTTTTCCAGCAAATTTCAAGTTGCAGGTGCTTTGTTTCCAAGTCTTTTCAAAATATGTTTAAAATAATCTAATGAACGACAACGGAGTGTTAGATATAGGTGTTCATCTTTGAAATAAAAACAAACATTTGTTGCCTTTGATATGATATAGCATCCCTAATAGCTCGGTGGACCGCAGTTAAGAGTTGTTAACTTGGTTCAATGGTCAAGGATAGCTTTCAGCTCGACAATCGGGTTTGACTCATGTTAAGGAGTTCGATATGGTAGCTCGAGGTACAAGATAACTTAGCTATGGTCGCTGATTAGCAAGTTTGGCTCACCCAAGAGCCCAGCTAAAAGAGGGTTATCACGACCCAGAGGTCGTGATGGTGGTCGTATGAATTTGACATGGTCGTGGCCAAGACGAGCCTTGAAATCAGCTTGCGGTTTGACCGGGCCAATTCTGGGCCACATATTTGTAATTTCTTAAATCCTCGGGTAGGTTCCGAATCCAAACTGACAGGTCAATCTTTTTCAATTTTTTTATTATATTTTAATTATTTTTTATACTCTTTTTTAATTTAACCAGCCGCTCCAAAACTAGCGGTTCATGAGCCGACCCCGAACTGCCGATTCACTAAACCAATCAGACGATTTAAGTTAATTTAAATTATTATTTTAAATTTTGAAAGCTAATTAATTTATATGCAGCATTAATTTAATTTATAATATTTTTATTTAAAACATATCAGAGAATAATATGGAAAAAATACAAAATTTATAAAGTGAGATAATATGTCTATTATAGAAAAAAGATAATAAATAGATTTTATATGGAATAGATTAAATATATTAAATATGTATACTTGTGGTAATCAAACCTAATATTTTGGTAAAAAAATATGTAATTTCTATACAAGTCATATTACAAATGGTAATTTTTTGTCCCATAAGATTACGAAATGTGCGAGACTTGCGCGCGTTCAGAAATTATATATTAAAGGATTACAGTATCACATGCTTGAACACATAAGAGCCATGAGTAGAGCCATTTTGGCTTATTAGCTCGCTTTATATGAGCTACAAAATTTAAATTCTAGCCATAAATAGCATAAGAAATCAAGAAAAAAGAAATTCTTCTTATGATGCCGGTTTTCGGCATGTAATGATGGCGAATTTGATCAGACCCTTCTTATATCCATCGATCATCCATGGCATGGCCAACGCACCCCTAATCGTCTTCCATCCTGGAAACGAAAAACGATAAAAAATAAGAAAAGAAAACCCCGTTTTGTACGTAGAATTCACGTAAAAAAAACAATTGTGTTATCAGTTGTAAAAAATCAAAACTACGAAAAAAATGGAAAAAACGTTCGGTTTTTACCACTTCTGAACAGAGAGGTGATGCCCTTCCATGTCAATGCTGATTTTATGACCGCAGGCCAAAATGGAGCGACGTATACAGACCAATCTGCAGACTTAATATCCTGCCCACAAGCCATCGACTTTTAAAGCTAGCTCGAACTTTTAAACATTGATATTTAGCCTACAAGCTATGGACTAAAGGCAAAATGCAGTCGAAGAACAAAGAGTATATACCTCCATAGAGAGGGACTTGAGTAATTTGACATAGTCGGCAGTTGAACACCACTCGGGAAGATAGTAAGCACCGCATATTTTGTTCAGCAAGTCTTGCTCGTCCGGGCGCAGGCACTCTCCGGGAGATAAATCCCTATGGCACCATGTAACTATTATTATCCTCCCACCAGGGGCCGCCACACGGGTCAGCTCATTCACAAACTACATTTTCAACGGAAGGAATTAAACCAGATAGCATAAAGTGAGGCAAAAGAAAAGATGGAAAGGAACAAAAAAAAAAAAAAAAAAA